GCACCTCCTGGACTGACTAACAAAGCGGCGAGTCAGACACATCATTACCTACCAATTAGGTCCAAAAAGTGTGTGCGTCTGTGTGGCGCAGGCCTTGAGCTGGGGACTGGAGCCGAAAGGAGGCCCAATTGTGGCCAGCCAAGACGATGGCCCAGGGCAGGGGGATGAGGCTGGGAGGATCGGAGGGCTGCTCTTCTGGAGGCTCCACTCGTTGGGTGAGTTGGGTAGGTCTTGGAGTGCGGAGGGCGGAGAAGTGCCAGATGGGAGGTAGCCAAGTGAGTGACAGCCAGCAAATAAGCCATAAATGCAGGGAGCATCCACCTAACGGAGGACAGCGGGCGATTCCGAGATGACGAAAGCAAAGTGCTACTAACAGCATGTAATGAACTCCGAAATTGTTTTTGAAATTCAAGGAGGTCTGAAGCCTAATCCTGGGAATTTGCCCCAACCTAAAACTCGACATTTAGCAGCCAATATTGCGCACACAGCGCTGACTTGACAAATCCTTCAGATTTGGCGTCAATTCGATTCATGCGCTGCGGCTGCTGATTGAATTTCGCACTGGATTCGTACAAATAAGCAGTCATCAGAAACAGCAGAAAAAAGTAAAGCCAAGAGCAATAGCAATCAGCATCATCAACATCAACATCAATGACGAGGGTCATTCGAGCGTTAGTTTAGCAGTCGGAAAACGGCCAAAAGCCAAGTACAAACAGCCATGAGCTGTGGGAAAATATCAGGGGTGGCTGGTGAAAGGGGTTAATGGAAATCCAGGTCCAACACAGATGACGAGCAAAGAAAAGGAATTCGCAGGATGAAAGGGCGACGTGCTGACATGCAGCTAATTGATTGACAGATGTGTGTCCCTGCTCCATGCGATTTCTCAATAAAGACCTAAATCGATTTAAGTGGTTAAAACGATACAAAAGGCTTTTGAAATACGACAGAAAGATTAAGTTAAGTGAAAGCTAAACGGCAGCTAGTTATGTATGCATGATCTAAAAAGCTAGCCACAAATGTAGAGCCATAGGCTTAATTGGTTCTTTGCTACATACGTGTATAGTATTTAAATATTGAAGAAGCTCTGCATTTTTAAGGAAATCAGTGCCAGTTTTGTCGAAATTTGTAGAAGAGACTTTAAGCCTAATGATTCATAATCCCCATAAGGCTTGAGGTTGCCCCTGAAGCGGCGGTCAAGCCATTAGAGCTCGACCCCAAGCTAAATTCAAATTTTATTCGGGAACCGAATCCCTTTCCACGGAATTCTATATTTTTGGGCGAATGATAAAGAGCTTTGTAATGCTTGCTATATATATGTATATAAAAAAATTACTGCATAAATCACACACGCTCCCACTCGCACACGCACATTTACGAGCCGCCCTCACACGACATACAAATTTCGGTTGTTGTATTAAAAATAATATCGTCGTCTGGTCGGCAAAGATAAGAAAATTTATCCAAAGGATTGCGTTTGGTGTTATGGCCACGGCAAAAAGTGAGACCAACCCCTGGTCCTTTCTCCTCCATTTGCGGACTCCTTTGTCTGCGCAACCGCAAGGACAAGGCAGAAAGGACTTTCCTTCGACTTGATGCGAGCATTTTATGGCCAAGGCCCCCAAGTCGAACTCATCATCATCATCATCATCTGAATCCAAGGGCCAAGGGCCAAGGGTCAGGAGGGGATGTAGGCAACAGGACCAGTGGCAGGACCACCAGCTGCGATCTGTGGCCAGCGATAAGGTGGAAATACATTTCATAAATGCCACGCCGCAAAAAGGATTACGAGGCTGCTATTTTAGCTATCCGACACAACGGAAAAATCACGAGATCACAAAATGAAGGGAATTATACAAAATATTAAAAAGGGCCAACCTTTTTAATCGTTGGAGTGTCAAGGAAAATTATTCTCAGACTAATAAATTGAATATCCCATCTTCACAAGTTCAAAATCCCCTCAAGTGTTGTGTTACAAGAACTTTTTCTCTGCGTGTGTTCTTTCTTTTCCTCTCAATATTTCATCGCAACCGAAAGGGAACCTCCACTCGGTGGCAATTTATTGTTAAAATAGTATAAAATGTATTTGCCCCTCGGAGAACCCGACACCACAGTTTTATGGATGGAAAAAAGCTATTCAGAGCTTTAAATACACAATCATAAATCGGGGAAATAGTGAGCACCAAACCTCTACTTTTTCACAGTTTTATAGTGCACTTACGCCAGCCCACATGTCGTATGCTTGATATTTTCTAGCAAGGATAAAGAAAGCGGGCTCAAACGAGGGGCAAGGGCTGTGTGTTGATGGAACGCAGCTGATAAGGTCGAGCGCCGTGTAATGGTTTTTTTTCGATTACCGCCGCTGTCGATGTTTTTGTTGTTGCACTCGCTTTTGGCCCGCAGCAATTGCAATGCTTCCCGCATAAACATGAGCCCCAAAAAATGGAGATAGGCAAACCTTGCGTCCCGCCCCTCGAAGCTCGAACCTTGTCAAATGATTAATTACATGCCGAAAAGCTATCTAACAATTTGACTCGCTGTCTGTGTGTGGCTCGTTTTGGTTCGGTTTTCGGTTCGGTTTGGCTGGATTGTCATTAAGCCAACCGCGCGGCCACAGAGGGAGACATAATAAAAAATTATGCCATAGATAAAATGCCATTAGAGAGGCTTGGGGTGGAGTGGGCAGCGAGGGGGTCACCACTTAGCGCCATTAGAAGGCAGCCAACAGCCAACAGCCAACAGCAGACAACACACTGCAGAGGAGCAGCCAACCAAAAAGCCAGGCCAAAAGGGGGAGAGCCAGGGCTGCAAGTATGCAATTCTGCAAGATAAGCCGAAGCATTCATGAATTTCATAGATAAAAACCAAACACACAGCGCTCACAGATACACAGATACAAGCACACACACACACACACACATATACAGGGCCAGGGAGATGCGCTTACAGTACATTGCACAGGAGCAACAACAACTGCGAGCGCCAAAAGTGAGCATCATCATCGCCAGATACACCATATATACACCAGATTCAGCAGCAAGTGAGGAAGAAATGCGGACGGAGTGGGGCGTTCGAACGGCAGCAAAGCCACCACAAACAAACAAACATCAAGGGGCGGACTCGGAAAAACCTGCAAGACACAAATGCAGGGTCAGATAGAACGTGAAATACCCTGCAGCGGAGATTTTGGATAAAAATTGCTAGGGGCACACGTGTCAAACAGATAAGTTTCAAACTCATTGAGTAATTTAATTATCCCATTTATTTGCATACTGAGCATATTAATGAACCTTTTTAATCATTTTTCGTAGACCTTTTTCTCTCGTAATCTCCCATAAGAAAGCCAAAGTCAAGGATCCCGCAAGTGACCACAGCACCACATCCAAGCCAGCCGAGTGGAAAGTGCGGCAATCCCAATCATTGGCCAAAAAGTGGGAAATACTGGGAGGAGGGCATGCCAAAGGAATACCACACGCTTCGCCCCACCATGTTGTTGGCTGACTGGCCAACTGGGCTCTTCGGCCGCTCGGCGTCGCCATGGAGTGTCAACAGCCAGATAAAGATTAGCCCAGACAAACGCCCACTTTTTAGGCGAACTGTTACGCCCACTGGCCACTCGAGCGCACCCCGATTCCCCCGTTCCCGGTGCCATCTGGCCTTGGTGTACCCGTGTTCGTATGCTGGAAATCTTTCACTGACGCAGCACAAAAAGCGCCACGTGGAAGGGCTGAGATTTAGAGGGGCGAGGGAAGCCGGACGGAGGCAGGATGGGATGCCCTGCTCCAATTGCCGCCAGTTTCGGGGGATTATTAATGATGAATGCTCGAGATGGCAGCGAAATGGTGCGGAATGTCGAGCCAAAAAGCGCAGGAGCGGAGTTGAGGTTTTAGATAACGGACTTAACTGTCCAATGTATTATGGGATAATCTAGAGATTCATTGTTGGAGGTTGGAAGCAAATAGCGGATGTGTAAGTTTTGAAACTCCATTCGCGTTTTATTAGCAATAACAACGATGCCTTGCGAGACATCAGCACGGAATATTAATTAGGTGAGCCCAAACCCTCACCAAATAAGTAATTGCAAACTAGAGCTGTCCAGATAAATTCCCATAAAGTCCCATACACTTGGCGATAATCCTCGGGGCTTATACCCATTCGTTATCAACTGAAAACATTCAATTCGGAGACTCGGAGAGTCGGAGAGCAAAGCGACAGACCGCTCCTGGCCAGCCAAGAAGGGTTGAGGTGGCCGGGTCAGAGACATCGTCTCAATGACGTTGACATTGCTGATGATTATGAAGTGATATGAAATTGATGCCAATGATGTCGGAGTGAAGTCAAAATTCCGCCCAAGGGGACGGGCGGAATTGGCCAAGGGGTTACAAATAATAAGTGCGAGCGAGAGCCAGACCCGACCCGTTGTCATTTCCTGCAGTCCATCGAAGAGACTGAAACGAGGGTTGTGGCCACCCTCCAACCTCCATCCTCCATCCTCCACCCTCCTCCCCCTTTTCACGAACGGGTTTAGAGGGTCTGAGGTGTCAGAGTCACAAAAACCGCAGGAGGCCAAGGGGAGTGGAAACAGTGCCACTGCACTGATAAAAATTGTATTAAATTAGAGAGCTCTCGTCTTCATCGTTTTCTGGATTACATTTTTATTGGCAGAGTATCAGCAGCGAGCAGTCAAGGCCAGGGATGGGTGGAAATTACTGGGTCTACCCACATCGGGATTTATTATTTATTATTGGGCATTAACGGGTTATGTCTGTCAGAGGGAGACAGCCATAGACAGAAAGGGATGGGGACACTCGCCTGTTTCCTGCAGTCGAACAGATAAGAATTTATTTTTTGGCGTTGGCCCATTTCGTTTAAGCTGCAAACTTATCGCGAATTGAAGGGCGGACAAAAGGACAACGGACAACGCACAACGGACAGGCGACAGGATGTGCCCTACTTTGAGGAGGATTTTCCTATGCATACATTTATATCTAAAGTCGCCTTACCTCCGCTGTCGACGGTCATCTCTTCTGTGGTATCGGAACAATCACCTGAAAGCAGAGATAGACGTTAGTTGGATGTGATAACGAGGTTTGCTTGTTCATGTCAAAATACTTTTAAGTGGAAGCTTAAATACTTAGGTGGTAGTTTGAAGCGAATACGGGATACTATGTTGGTGAAAATGAAAATGCATATTTCGCAAGTGAGTGATAGTGTATATCGCAAGAATAAGCATGAGGCAGGTTTGAACTTTATGCATAGTCTGGACTAATAGTTGCTGATATATATCGCAGATAGTTCCAGCCAAATGGCTTTACTTTAAAAGCGATAATAATTGCTGCGAGGGCCGCATTGTTTGCTTTTGTCCACCCATTCTCTGTTTTGCCCAGTATCTCTGCATCTTTTTCTGTTGGCAAAGTTGAGTTTACTACGCACAGTAGTTCAGTAGTTGGCTGGTTCGTTGCGAGGCCGGTGTCCAAGCCTTCACTCCACTCGATTAAACTACAGTACCCGGAGTACCCGAAGTACCCAGAGTACCCAGTACGGAGTACCCCCTCCCTACACATCGCACTCCGCTTTGTGTTGTTTTTCTCATTTTGATTATATTTCGCTGATTATTCACTTCAAGGAATTATAATAACAATAATAACAACAATCCGCAGAATTCCTTCGTTTTAATTCAGCTCCTCTGCTCTGCCTCTTCCTCTACTTCGCTCGCCGCAGATCGTAGATAGCGCAGCACACACAGATACTCGTACTCACAGATGCAGATACATATGAGCCGGGCCAAACTGAGGCCGTGGAATGAATGTGAAGCCACACAGCGCAGATAGGCGACTGATAAGCAACTGAAAGCTGGCTGCCATGGACGCGAAATGCGGACTTGGACTTGGACTACAGTGTCGGACAAGTCGGACAGGCGGGAATGGAACCTCGTCCCCTCATCCCCTCATGCCCTCTTCCCCACGCTGGCTTTCGGTTCCCTTCTCAGACAGGGTCCAAAGGCTGGCTTCGATAGCAATTGGCGGGATTTTAAGTTTTTGCAGTCCTCCCACACATGACGTGCAGGTTGATTCGAGGCTCTACGGAATTGATAAACTAGGCTTAAATGAAATTCTTTTTTTATGTAAGAGCAACACTCATAATTTTGTAAAAATTTTGAGTTCATGATTGTAATTGTCATCATCTTAATCGCTTGTTATACGATTCCGGCGAAATCAAGTAAGTAGTCGAGGTACTTTGCTACATGGTTGTTTCACTGGATTTCATATACAAATGCCAGATTGGAATTTCAAGAATTTGACAATATATGTTGCAATATTTGCCTTAAATATAAAATATAGTATAAATATCCTATCAAATTATAGCATTCCAAAGAGAATGAATAATTTGTTTACATCTCAATCAGATAGGTTGTAAAATTGTTTTGTGAAAAATATAATGTTACAAAATAGAACTAGAGTTTATGCATACTCGTATTTTGTCCGTTTGAATATTTCTCACCTCTATTGCTGCTAAGCATTGTTTTCCTATATGTGTATAGTAATCCACTTGGCAAATAATCCAGGTTTACCGGTGGCTCCTTCACTTTCTCACTTGCACATGTTTCAGCTTTCGGTTTGGGCCGTACTTAAGCGGCAATTTTGTTGTCACTTCCCGTGGGAATTTTCTTGGACTCACTCACTGTAATACAATTATTCAAATTCTCGTTATGACGAACGTGCGGTATCGTATTGTAGCTCTTAATCCCTCGAACCGCTGTCAATTTGGAATACCGCGTACCGCTCGTGGTTGCTGCCTGCTCCGCGTTTCACAGCAAACTGAGACTCGGACGACCGGCTGAGTGCGGCAGTGAGTAATGAAATTTTCGTGCGCCGCTGTGAGATACAGATACAACCGATACAGATACCGAGCGAGCCAAACCGAGCGGCGATGCGATGACGACGCAGCACAGCTGATGTTTGTTGATGCCGGGACGCCGGGCCAAAAGTTGTTTATCTTTGGGATTGGAACTGGAACCGGGACTCGTACTGGAATTCGTATCAGCAGCCGAGAAACTCTCTCGCTCGTCGGTCGGTCCGCTGCCAACTGAAATAAGATATTGTGCCGGAGCGGGGACAAGACGAGACCTCTTAGCCGAGACTCTCTGCTGCGGTCGACTTCCTTCGCTCGCCTCGGAATTATTCGAAACAAAAACTGATAAAGCACTGATAAGGAGCGCAGCGCGGCGAGCTCTGCGCTTAGATAACATCGCAGAAACAGAAACAGAACCAAAACCAACCAACCAGCCAACCAGCAGCGAACGGATACACAAACACTGAGGCACCGAGCGAACACCCAACACCGAGCACAGCAGATACAGATACAAAGATACTTTCAGAGAGGGTGTGCTTGTGTGGGTCTGTGCGCGAGGGAGATGCTTTTCAGCGATATCGCGTCTACGGCTAATGGAATTCTGATTATTGCTTAGTGATAAGCGTTTTGTGTTTAATTGTATCTCTGTATCTGTATCTGAATGCACCGAGCGAAATGGGGTGCGCAATTAGGTGAAATACATATTTCCATTGTAAAGACGAACAAATTCATAAAATTCAAGAAAATGTAAATTTTCAATAGAAATTATTTTGGAAAAAGGCTGATCAACACTTTAGCTTCACTTAAGTTGTGAACCTAGAATTAAAGTGTTTTTGTTTTTTTGGTACAGTGAGATCTCGTACAGGTCTCCCCATCGGTTATCATTCACCTCCTCCAGCCGCATCCACATGGCCATTTCTATCTGCATCTCCATCAACTCTCCATCATCATTCTGCAGCTTTTGGCTCATGGGGCTTTTGTTCGGCGTTTTCTCGGTTTGGTTTTCCTTCCGCGCTTATCGCTGTTATAAGATCTATTTTTATGTTGCTTTTGCTACTCTTTCTCTCGCTCCTTCCTGGCACTCCCCATCTACATCTCAACCGACCTCCGCCTCTGATTCCTATCGGCGTTTGGTTTATTTCCATTTCCCTGGCAACTTTGCAGATGCAAAAAAATGTTTTCTTCTTTCCCAGCGATAACAATCTCCTTCTCATCCGCTCTCTCTCGTTTTGCTCTCTGTAATCAGCTGTTGCCAGCATGTTGCGCATGCGTTGTGGCCTAGCGTCATGGCTAAACATATATATGTACATATATATTGGGATATACGAGTATCCACGAAAAACCAACCCATCACCCTCCCCCTGCGGGTTTTGTTGTTGTCTGCTGGCTGCCTTTGCGACGATTATCTCGTTTGCCATTGTTGACTTTTAATTAGATTCATTAAACGTGCCGCTTGCCGCTAACTCTCTTGCAACCCCCTTCGCTTAGCTCATGGACTCGAGGCTTTCGATACGTCTTTCAGATACCCTAGATACCCAAAATATACTCGTCAACCCAGGGGCGCATAAGGCCAGATTAATGGGAAAATTAATTTTTTAATGTCTGACTATGGTTTAAAAATGACTTCCGGCTTTCACTTGAACAGGGTATTCGGTTTTCGTTACTCCCTGCCTCAGAAGCTTTAGCCTTTCTTGCCTGCTTATGTGTTAGATTAAATTTTCAGCAGTTTGTGGGTGTTTTCTGTTTTTTTTTTTTTTTTGTGCCTTTAGCTTATGCAGCGATAAACACTTCATGCGTGAATATCTGCAAAAGGTTTTTGATAAATGCGACCGCTGCGGTTGCTTTGCGTTGCTGTTGATGTTGCTGCTGGTTGATGTTGCTTGTTGTTGGGGTGATGAACTGCCAGATCTAGCCCTCTCTTTTCGCCCGTTTTTGCCATCTCTTTTTGGCTCTGGCAGAAGCAATTGTTTTGCAATTATGTTGCTACAAGTCGGTACACACGATTGCCTCTGTGTGCGTCTGTATCTATGTGTAACATTGTTGTTACGTGCTCATTTATTGACATAAATATGAACAAATGCGACAGATTAACGTCTGCTGATTGCACTACGTCGAAAAAACTTTTTCAAGAAAATATGCTTAAAATACGAAGCAACAATAAAAAGAGCTGTAGCCAAAGTAAAGTAAAATACCGCACGGAAAACTAAAACAATAGTTAACATTCTTTGTAAACCACTCCTTTCATAATAAAATAACCTTATTTATCCTAAGGCATATACAAATATTATTTTATTATTTATATTTCCTGATTGAATCCCCGTTTATGTTTCAGTGTGTTTTCTGCAATTCCAAGTGACGCAGCACTTGGAGGCACTCCCCCGCTTCCCTGCCGTTATTCCTCTGACCTCGATGCCCCTTTCCACCACACACACACACACACACACACACACACACGAAATAACAAAAAAACAGTCCGCTGAGAGCGCAGATGCAAGCGAGTTGATAAGAGATCCTCACGCTGATAAAAAGCAAAAGCAGCACACACAGTTGTTGCTTATTTTTGGGGTTATTTCTACTTCTGCTCTGAAGCCTGGCTCTAGTGCCGTCTCTCTCTAGGCGTATATCTCCATCTCTCTTTCGCTGTCCGTCGCTTTATTTCATTTCGTTCGCTTTTCGGGTAGATGCATCGTTAAGATTAGCACAGGCAGCATTTGTTGTTGTTGTGAAAAAACATTTATCATGAAATAAATCTACTTAAGTTTTGTTTTTTCGTCTGCGTTTTTCTCTTCCCCATCTACATCCCCCTCTTTTTTTGGGGAGCAGTCTTCGTACAGAGAAATGCCTATAATTGGTTCAATCATATTTAATTACAGTACTTGATTCAAATTAGGTTATCAAACGAGTGTATGGAAATGAAATATTTTCAAAGTAAAGTAAAATACACTTCAAAAAATTATTTCTCTCTGTGCATACAATGTTGATGTTGTAACTTGAAACTCGCACATTACTATAAGCGGAAAAGAGGTTGGGGATCGGTCTTATATAATCAATGGGGTTGCCCAACTCATTTCCACCGAAAAACCCAAAAATTGTTCAACCTTGGGTTGGCTCCGTCCGTCTCTTTCGCTCACGTCGCCTTTCGTCTCTCTCCCACACAGCAGGTGCTGAGCTGCTGACAGTTTCGCTTCCCATTTCCTCTCCACATTGAATTCACCCTTGGAGCCTGCATATTTATGAAGTCTGGCAGATAAGCGATGACTTCATTGTAGCGAAATTAAATCAATTAACATAAGCCAAGGTGCGAGCTAAACCACCGACCCCAGAGCCACCCACTCGCCTCCCCTTGGGCACTTATCTCTGTTCCCCAGCCCGCGCTGCTTCTCCTTCCCTTTTTGGGCTAATCTAGCAATCAATCAAAGTGATTTAAATTTCATACCGCGTATCCGTACCACCACCGCACAATTCAAAATCACGGCTTGGGTTGAGCACGAAATACGAAGTATATTTCTGTGAATCGCGATTAAGAACTCAACTGGGAGCCAGACTGAAGTCTGAGGTGTTATCCCTGGGAAACAGACAGAGACTAATAGTAGAAGAATGGAACAGGATTACGAATAAGATCCCACAAAACTTTTGTTTATCCAGTATGCAGACTTATTAATAATAAAAAAAAAAACTATTTGATTAATTTCTCTACCTGCATGTGACTCATTTATCCGTCACAGATCATCAATCTTTTATGGCCGGGTTCCTTTGTTTCCTAGTACCCGATCCTCATCTCGAGATGCGTATTTATGCCCCTGGGTAGTACGGAGCCCAGAGTGACTTGCTTTATTGACCTCCTTTCTGGGCCCGTGGCTACTCCACCGCTCCGGAGTTCGACTCCATGTTTCGAGTTCGCTAAGTGGTCATAAAATATGCTTAATGAATCAGGAAGCCGCCTCTATGCGGGTGCCACTGGCAACTGGCAACTGGCAACCCTTGCCCCTCGCCGGTTGGCTTATAGACCACGAACACCCCACCCTGCCGTACTTCCCTTTTGGTCCGTCGTAAAACTCCTTATCTGGGAGTTTCGACTGTGACTTCGGCTTCTCAGTCATCCGTTGGTAAGTGCGAGATTAAAATATTGGATAAAGCGGCAGCAGAAATGCATGGCGGGCATGGCGGGCATGGCGATAACGAGTGGAAATGGAAACGTTCCTTGGTCGTTGTCGCCGCTCTTTCAAAAATATTTCTACGCTATCGACAGCGCCGCCCTGTTTTGAATACTGGCTCGACTTGAGGCTCGGTTTCTTGGGTAAGTGAGTGATAAACACGAGTTATCGCATCAATTAGTTCGGCGTCAAGTTGACGTCGTTAAAACCAGCAAAACAAAGCCCCCAGGCAGCTCGACTCATTTTCGATTTTACCCAAAAGAGAGTCGCTCGCATTTGAATGGGAAGGCGAAAGTCATGCCGAAATGCCATAAAACCAGAGTCAGCGGCCAAGTCGCGGTCTGCGTCCCTTTTTGGCCTACGGATTGCCGGCCAACAGAGTTGGCTAAATTGGCTAAGAAAACTTGAAGGTATGGTATACTTGTCACGTACAAGATCTCTAGAATAAGAGCTAAAACACATAAATTATCTGATATTTATAGATATCTGGTTTTGACCATAAATGAAATGGAAGTATTAGATTATACAATTCGCAGTTTGGAAGACTTGCATAGTGCGTAAAATATTTTAGCCAAATCCACACTGGCAGCACTGATGCCCAAGTCGACTTTCGATACAACGACGTTGACGAGAGTGTCAATGATCCTATAACCGATATTGAGACAACGTCGCCGCCGTCTTTTTTCTTTCTCCCTGCCAGACCCTGTAACATTCGCTTTGTCTCTGTCCGTCGCCGTACGCAAATTGTGCTGGAAAGTGGCTTGTAAAACATTAAACGATTCTGGTCCAGTCGCCAGTCAGCAAATGAGCAAGTGACGCCACCAAGGAGCTGTGTGGGAGGGCCGAAGTCGGATTCCATTCAGATGCAGGTAGAGATGCAGATACAGCACACGCCAAAGTCCGGGCTAATTGCCAGGGTGCGTCTGTCCCTGTCGAACCCGCCCATTAGGCCTCCTTCTCTCTCTCTCTCTCTCTGGCCCACAGAGGCTGTCTCTCTCGCCTCCTTGGTCCTGTCAACGGCTTCCACAGTGCGTCAAAAGATCTCGAGTGGATAACGATGACGATGAAGCTGAACTGCCGGCGACGACGTCGGTTATCGCAGCCGGAAGTGCCATCATAAAAGGAAGGTGCAATAAAAATATTTTACACGCCTGCCGTCTCTCTCGCACCCACGGCCACCATTGCCTTCTCCCTCTCTTTCTGCCACTTCAATGGGAATACCTCTTCTGGGTGCCTGCTTGATCGGCTCAATTGGCGAGG